AAGTGGCATTTCAGGGGGCTGAGGGTAGGCAATGAGGTCTCTCACACCTTCTTCTACTAAGTGAAGGAAGGCTCTATCTCACCAGCAGACAGCACTTTGCCATAAAACAAAACTAAGGGCCAGCAGATCTCAGTCGGGGCTTGCTGGGTTTTGTTAGACGGCAGCGTTCCCCACAAGCAGGGAGCGCTCGCCTTCGGCATGGCAGCAGAGCTCAGGAAGGTAGCCATGGGGCTGTAAAACCCTACAAGCTGCACGAGTTGCTTATGCCTGAAGCCAACTCTGCTTCTACGTTACAGGCCCGGAAGATGAAAACCCTGTTCTGGGAGAAGCTGCTTCCTTAACAGCTACACTGAGAGAAAATATAAACCACACAAAATAGATGGGGGATGGTATTGCCAGACCTGGATATAGAGGGGAAATTATTCCAGCTCTACACCTTATGATTCTAATCCCTGTACCAAAAGATGACTGTGAATCACGATACTGAAATCCTTTGCTTTTCTGGAATTGTTATCTGTTCATAGTAATAGTCATGTTCTCTTGGAAATACCCTGGAGTACATCCAAGTTCAACAGTTTTGCGTAAACACAGTTCCTAAATCCCTTGCAAGCTAGGAAAACAGACACAGCCTTTCTTTTACGTGGATACAAAGAACACACAGGTAACTCCAGAGGGAAAAAGGAAAACAGGTGTTAAGTCTTTCTCTGGCCCGTCTGTGAGATAGAGTTCCCCTTCTTGCTGCCAAAGAACTCAAGCTCAAAATACTCTGTTCAGTCTCACTGCAAGAAGAAAAAAATGAGTAAACTGCAAAACTGAGACCTTTTGAAGGCAGGCAGAAAAAGAAGAAACTACAAGTCCAGCAAATTCCCATCCCACAGCCTGCTGATACTAGTGCCCTTCCCTTGCTATTCTTCTCGCTTAGTTTCTGGATTGTCCAGTGTTCTGATATCCAGTGTTCCCAGCTTGAAATCCACCGACATTATCTTAGTCATGCATAATCAGGTAAAATCCTAACTGCTCATGCAGGTTCCACACACAACACTGGAGAGTGCAACGGAGATGCATTCAACCCTATGAAGTCTGCTTGGGTTCAGCAAAGCTTATTAGTTCAGGTTGAGTACATTATGGACTTTGTACAGGTCTCATGCTCCATTCTGGTTAATAATTCAGAAAGCCAGAGGAAGTCAGGGGATATCCCCCCACTGGCAACACAGAACTGGATCTGGAAAGGCTGCTCTTACGCCAGGAAGTAGAGCTGCTGGACTCAAACTTATTAGCCAGACTTCTTGCTTTCTTCCCCTGCTCCAAGCACACATGATAGCATCAGGTGATAAAAAGAGCAGCTCATGTGATAATAGAAGGAATTGCAGTAATAGGCTGTAGTTAATCCACGTACCTTCTAGGTACACTCCAGTGCACATGGGGCCTCACCATGCCACGTTTACAATGTTGAACAGTGGCACTTCCAATACTGGCTATCAGATAACAGATTAGGCCGATGGGTGTATCTGGTAAATAGGATACTGGAGAGGGAAACTAAATGTGAAATGTGTGTGAAAAACAAGCGTAGCTGCCAGAAGGATGCTGGACAAGAGCTAGATATGAAAGACTTGCTCTCGGTGTATTAAATTTTCCAGGTAAAGAAGAGGTGACTATAAAGACCAGCAGCACTTCTGCTCTTCCTCGGATGACTCCTGTCGGGGGCGATGTGTACCAGAAGACGATTAGGAGCAGCAACAAAGTATTCTCTCAGTGCCAGAAGCCCTGGGAAAGTGCGCCTAACATGAAGACTTGAGTCAGTGCCAAGACGGACGGGGGCGCGTGAGCTATCTGAGTGCAGATATTGAAACCAGGGCAAGGACATGAGAGAGAGAAGATAATCTCCATGCAGAGCGCGGCTTGTAGCAATGTAGCGAAGTAACTTTAATCTGCAAACACAGCTGTATTCTCACATAATACGGTGTATGTTCTCACATAATAAGGTATATAAGCGAGGATGGACTATGAAATAAACAATCTTGCTTCACTACACGCAAGGTTCGTGCTTCAGTCCTCACAGACTCCTTCTAAGAATTGTGAGAATTCGTTCCCGTCATATATTCAGTGCTGTTCCCTTGCCGATTTTATTAGCTTTGTGGCTGAACCAGCAGCAAATAGACTCAAATATCCTAGAAAAATATAATAAATAATCAGCCACTTAGGACAGATGTATCTGGGGCAGCTCAGTGCAGGAAGGACATATACTGGCCTGGGTAGAGGTACAGAATGGGAGGGGATAGTACAAAAAAAATTATTTAAGTCAAAGGACAAAGTTGGATTAAGAAAAAATGAGCAGACTCATACAAGGACATGACTTCAGTCTGGTAACTTCTCTCCTCCAACCTGCCACCTTCCCCTCTGGCAAAGCAGGCGGCCTGGGTTAGAAATACTCTTATGGTCTGCTCTCCTGGGCTGTTGCAGAGAACAGGCAACAAGGTAAAACCACATCTGCCCTGACGCCTGTGCTTGAGGCCACGACAATTCCTCAACTCACATAACATTCACCAGCCCAGTTAGGAGTGACTACCTTGTCCCATGATTTCTCTATATAGCTAGTGTCTACAATCTAGAGTTTCACAGTAAGGACTCAGTAGAAGGGCTTTGCTGGAAAGGTGCTAAAGAGCCTGTGAAGAGAACTGTGCACGTTCTTAGAGAAGACACATACAGGGTGCAGGGTGGAGTGCCCTCACATGAATTATCATCAGGAACAATCTGATGACTGTACATTGGTCACTATGATCAGAGCCACCGTCTCCAAGGGCTGCTAGTAGGGCACAACTAACTGTACTTCTGTTAAGGGGAATTTCCTTGGCTGGGCAAAGAGATGCAACAAAAGGCGACTTCTTGTGACAGCAAACGGAGATGGTACCATAAAAAAGAGCTTTGCTACAAACAGAGAGCACTCTCTGCCCAGACAGACCCACTCCAATCACTAACTAGATGGGATAGTTCTCACTGCAGCAGCAGCAGCTAAGACAGGCCTGGAGAAAAATCAAATACTCATCAGTGTTTGATGATAGCTGTTAATGTGATTGGAGTGCTGCTTCAGTGGGCCTTGAGCATCATCTGTGGCAGCAGAGAAAGCAGGACAGAAGAGCCCTGTGACCTGATGTCAATCCCAGCAGCATTCATCTATTTAGAGAAAAGGTTAGATATAAACTGTTGACAATGCTGCAGCCATTAGAGTGGAAAAAAATTGAGAATTTGTTCTCTAGCCTGGAACGGAATATGGGTCAATTTGAAAGCAAATTTGATGGCTTTGAATGTGAATGAAGAGCAAATTTACCAGAATGGTGTCATCTGAGGGCTTTGAGCAGATGGACAGCAGCATGTGCTGAAGAATATTGTTAATTTAGTGCCAAGAGGAAATGTTCCTCTGAACATTAAAAGTATGCTATCCAAAAAATCACCCAAGGACCTTAAATCTGTACATTTCAGGTTTCCCTGAGGGCCTCCCATGAGGAAAATATTGTTTATGTCATTTAATTAAATTTTGAACTGAGTCACACACTTTTTTGCACTAGTTAACTCACTGAAGCAAGTAAGTTTACCATGTGAGTAAAGACAGTATATGCCCAGACATTTATTGTTTGCAAGACTAAGAGTCTTGCAGACTCCCAGGCTCATAGGAAATAAGACTTTAAACTACCTTTAGACAAACAAGTTTATCACAACATTGGGACTACATGCAGACATATCAGCATCCGTACACATCTAAAATACATCTATATAACCTACATGTGCCCTAAAGCTGGTCTCGCCTCCGGGGTACGCAATGGAGCGGAATATCTTAGCAAGTGCACCTAAGCGCATTGCAGTGATGAGATGTGCTTTAATTGTTCACAATGTTGCACTGATGAGCCCTGAAGAGATGCTGATTGGAGATACAGAGACGACCATTAAACTGCTTCTTAGACCAAGATAACTTGGTCGTATTTCCTGTTGGCTCTCTTGTCCTGCGAAGATCACGTTATTCAAAGTGATAATCAGTGGCCATGACATTCTCGTCCCCACAGTACTTAAACTATCATCTTTTATGAGCGTGTCACTGAAAAAAACAGGAAAGTTTCAGTACAATCATAATCTATCTCAACTAAAATTAAATTTATCTTTTCCCATTCTTTATGCAAAGCAGGACTAAAACAGAATTACTGCTTTCATCTCAGTCACAATACTGTTTCTCCAAGTCGTGAGTTTTTTTATTCTTCGTTGGTTTATTTGGCTTTTTCAATCCTCAAACTGACAAAACTGATTATCTACGCGGCTTCATCATGTAATCGGTGATTTCAGATAATACTGAAGCTTCATGTAAACACATTAGTTTTGCAAACAGCTTGCTTTTCTTTCGTTCCCAATTAAAATGTGTAAATACAAGCTAGACTTAAAAATGGCTTTTTAATCATATTTTAATGTTCATGGCTCAAAAAAATCACTTAAGGAATATACTAAAATCAGAGTTAATTACAACAACTCCTTAAAATCAAGGTCTCACCCATTTTCAGAGGCATACCAAAAAGTCACTTATCTCACATGAAAATGAACACTGGCCTTACAGATTCAGTAAATACAAGGCTGATAGCCAGCAATATCTGTTGCCCTGTTCACACTCCCAGATTAATTAGCCATGGCAATTTTATGGAATTGTGGTCTGTCCTTGCACTTTTTTCTCTAAATCAACATACTTCACACCACGCACTTCCTTGTAACTATCAGTATGAGCTCACCACTGGTTTCTAAAACCATTTGAAATGATAAGTTCTGCTGTTTTAACATCCTCTACAGATAAGATTTTCAATTCTGTGACCACACATTCTCTGTTTTTTCTGTATATGAATGTTTTGATGCAAACAACAAAAAACCCAGCCAAGAATAATCAATAAACATATTCTCATGGACAAGTCTCTTTTTAACTCATATGGTTCTTGTTAGGAAATCACATTAACTCAAAAATTCCATCCAAAATGTATATTAATAGATTGGATATGGGAGGTAGGTGGACAATTCATGATGCTTATCTATGAGAGGTGCAATTTAGATGCAAAATGGTTGTGAGAATAATTAAAAACACTAGCTACAGTCTGTTGGTATTCATATACTATGAGTATGTTAAGACTGCAGGTATGGTGCTTGCAGACAAAGCCCCACTTGGCAGTAAACACACCAAATGAAGAGTTGTGGTCCCACAGAGAGTAATTTACACTTCCTCTCACAGGTTAACAGTACAGACAAACTTTGGGTAGAGACCACATCCTTAAAGCAGTCAAAGTAAGTAAGTCATGGTAAACGCTTCCTAAAACGTCCACGAGAAACAGATCCAAGTTTCAGGTATCAGGTATTTTGAATGGTTTTACACATCATGGGCTAAAGGTCTGATTTGTAACTGCTTTCGGACTGTTCTCTTGCCTGAAAGGGTGGGCCTTGTTCACCAAAGTGCAGCCCAGTACCCCAATCAGAAAACGTAAGCCTACTGACAACAGGGATGCTTTTCTTAGTCAGCTTTTGCAGTAGTTATTTTTAGAGAGGGTGCATGGATTTGATAGGGTTCTATAGACTATAAGGTGAAACCCACAGCACTGAGTAGATTCTCCACCTGAATTTCAACAGAGTCTAAGGACAATCTTTCAGCAAGGCTCAATTCTTTTCTCACTGTAGGCCACTGGAGCTGAATCTTTACCAACGACGACAATAACAACAAAAGAAAAAAAGGAAAGAAAAAAGAAAAAAAAAGAACTATTTTTAAAGGCCAAATTGGTTTTAACGTTTGGGAAAATAGCAATTGCATTACCTACAAAATGTAAAACGGGTCCTGTAGGAAAGCATGGTACTACAATACAGTGCAGTACAGTGGAAAAGTACTGTACTATACAGAGGCATACTCCTATAGAACTTTCCAGCTCATCTAACATATTATTTAAGGTGGCATGGCTCTCCTCGGACAAAATGAACTGTACATGTGACTAATGCATATAATTCTCAGAAAGCACTAAATCACATTTCTTATGGGAAGCTGATGCACTTTTTTGCCCAATAAACAACCTGCTGCTAAACCATTAGATGTCTCAAATAGCAAGTTCTGCCATGGAAACAGCATGGAAATAACTGAAGGATTTTAAAAAGGAAGAATTCTTTCCCCTGTAGAGGCAAAATGCCACTCAAAAAACAAATTTCAATGGCTCCTGAGAGCCTTTTGAGAATTCATAGGCAGTATTACAACACTATTGGAAACTGCTTTTAGTTGCACTGAAGTACTAGGTGCAAGTGAAACTAGTGGTCAGCAGGAAAAAAAGAGAAAAGGCTGAATGTGTGCTCTGAATCAGTTCTAAGATATGATCTTGAAAGTTCTCTGTACCTGGAATCTGCACTGAAATAATCTGGAGTTCCATGCAAAGTTCAAACATGATAAAACCATTGTTGGACGGGGAACGACTGATACAGCTGGTCATCCTCCAAACAAAGAGTGTGATCCCCGGAGCCATCAAGTAGATACAAGAGCAATGAAATAACACATTGCATTTAACCAAAAGGGGCATAAACAAGATTTAATTAGATCATGAAATAAAATTCACCTATTTTGTAAACTTAGGGTGAAAGCGAGTGGCTGGCCCCCCAGCTCTCCAAAGTAAACCTGGCTGTGAACAGTCTTGCAGCAAACTGAAACCTCATGGGATATGTAAGTAGGAACCCAAAGGTAATTGCCCAAAGTAAAATTTAGTCATGACAAAACATTTAGTCCAAAGACTAATATAAAGAGCATAGCTAAAAGGCATAACACAGCGCTGGTAACCCAGACACAGACTGAGCTAGCCAATATGCTGTGACTTCTTGCCGCACACCTCTGCAGCCACCAGAAATAGCACTTCCACCTCTGATTTAGCTCTGTTTGAGGTGTCTCAGGGGAAAAAAATAGCTGCATTTACCACTGTATTCCAGTCACAGGGTGACAGCTTAGTTCCAGTGAATTAATTAGCCCGTACAACGCTTAGGACTAGTGAGATGCATTACTCTGGTAGCCAACTACTGTGTTCAGAGGTGTGTTGGGTTTTCCACATTCCACTGCACTGTGCTGTGTAGAAATAATTCTCTGGCCCTTGTAGCTCCAATTCCTGAGAGAAATCAGAGAGTCACAGAAGTCATGAGAGTAATAGATCACAATCATTATCTCATCTAACCTCCTGAATACCTTTGCCATTCTACTCTTCCTTAGAAGTTAGATCAAAGCAAGCCTTTTTAAAAGACCTCTAATTTTTGCTAAGATTTCAAGCAACAGTGAATAATGGGACCTTGTGTTATCCTTATTGCTAGAAAAGTATGTCAGACTCAAGGCTGGATTGTCAAACTCCCAGTCATGGGATCACCTTATGTCTTAAGACTATAAATTTAAAGACTATAAATCCCCGCACTATTGTGCCTCTTGCTTATACATAGACCTATACACAATGATTTAGTTCCTTTTCACGCTTCCCTTTGATAAGCATTCAGGTCTTTAAACCTTACATCAAAGTTTAGTCGCCATTTTGAAATGCAAACACCAGATCTGGACACAGGATTCCAGCAAGTTGCTTTATCAATGCTACGTACACAAGAAGGATCATTTCCCTAGTTCTATTTGTCACTCCTCTTCTTCATACTCCTATACCTAAGGATCCTATATTCAAGGATCACATTAGCCATTTTGACAACAGCGCACCAAGAATTTATGTTGAGACTGTTATGTAAGACCACCCCTTCCCAAAACAGGCTTCGATCTCACAAGTATCAATTGCATTCCTCAACACTTGCAGCTGCGTTAAAACACAATACTTTTGGACTGTAACCATTTAGTCCAGCTATTCCAGCAATTCTTACCAGTAGTTTGACCACTTTGTTACAGGATCATAGAATAATTTATGTTGGAAAGGACTTGAAGAACATCTAGTCTGACCTCCCGCTCAAAGCAGGGCTGACTTCACAGCTAGAGCAGGTTGCCCATGTCTTTGCCCCATCAGGTCTGAAAATCTCAAAGGATGGAGATTCTACAGCCTCTCTGGACAACCTGTCCCAAGGTTTACCCACTTTTATTGTGATTTATTTTTATATCATATCTTCCTTACTATTTCTCTGATGCATTATCTAAAAACAGCTACCAAAGCCTCTATGTCCACATTTTATATCTTTGATTAAAATAGCAAATAGCCAGAATGAATCTCCAGGCGATCTGTTAGAAATAGCTTTGTACACTGGCACCTGACCACTGCCTACATTTTGAAGATCTGCCAATAAACCAGATTCCAGTGCATATAATAGATACTCTGTTAATTCAGTATAGTTTCACCCATTCAGTAAACATCACGTGATATTAAATTAAAAGCTTCAATATAGCCCAAGGAATCAGCAAGAGGACTGAAGATCATAACAGTTGTTTCCATCTAGAAAGATCCACCTTCCAAGAAGGTAGGCTGATTGATACTAATTCTCTTTGACTACTAATTTGTATTGAAGTCTGCTTTTTCTCCTGGGAACAGACACTGGGAAACCAGAGCTACTTCACAGCTCTCTGGTTCATTCCCTCTCCCTTTTTCCAATTACGGAATTCTACTGGACAACTTCTGAAATCTTCCCAGTTCAGCAGCTTAAGGCACTCCTCAGCTTTAACATTCTTGGGCATTAGCTATGCAGCTATGCTGATTAGGAAATGTCTAATTTCAGCAAATGCTGCTTTTCATCTTCCTTGAGCACAGATAATACTCCCATTCAAATCCCTCATCCAAGTGCCAATTAGCCTCTGTGGCAGAGCATAGGAAATCTGACCAGCGGTAGATATAAAAGGGTGAACTCAGAATGAGCTTACCGCTTTCCACAGAAACCCTGCTCAGGCCCAAACATTGCTTTTTCTAAAGATCTAGCTTTAACAAGTTATCTATTTGGCATATGCATTACATATTTATTAATAGAAAAGTTCATGTCGTAATTGTATTTTGCTGCAAAATGTCTGTTCACAATATGGCAATTTAAAAGAACAAGTTGGAGGATTATAAAGTCCTGTATGAAAAACAACCTGATTGGCTAATTAGCTTGGCACTTTGCTTTTAATATTATTTAAACATACTTTTATGTCTGCAATAGACTTTTTTAAAGTGTCATAACAGTTTGAGAGTTGTCGCATTAGGCTGTTAAAGCTCCAAATGTGTACCTCTTCTCTGTTCAGGACTATGAATCCAATACACAGTAATGTGACTACTCAAGAGGAGCTGTTACACTTTATGTCAATCCAGCTGCTAGGCAAGTACATAAAATCTGCATAATAAAAATCCTTATGTTAATTTTGATTTATAAAATTGACTGCTTGCCAAAAATAGATTTTTTGACTTTAGTATTTTCACCAATTAAAACATTTTCTTGTCAAGCTATCCAAAGGGACAACTGTTTATTGTTTATTAATCAGAGAAATTTGTGTTGAATTCAGTCTAACAGAAGAAGTGGGTGGCTCATGTGTATTATTTAAATTTATCTAAGACTGCCAAATGTATTTTTAACCTGTTCTTAAAACTTCCAATGATAATACTTCCAGTTTCCCTAATTATCTACACCGGTGTTGAAATACCCTTGCAGGTAGAAAGCTTTTATTGATGTGCAGCCTCCCACTGCTGTATTTTTAAGTCCTCTCTGTTTTCTCAGGTCCCAGGGGATATGGGGAACAGAGTACTGCCTTCCTCTTTGGACTACGATTCCACCCAGTTTAAATGCTTCTTGGGCAAACAAAAATGCAGGTAGCAGACCAGGCAATGGTCTAACAGGATCTAATTCTTCACTCAGTCATTTCTGTACACCGTTGTCCACCCTGGGGAAGGCAGCAGCAACTCTGTGGCGCTCTGCCGTGCTCACAAACACCCCCTTTTCCAGCGAGGCAGGAGACGACATTCGCTGCCACTCCCTGGGGAGGCCAGGAGCACACGACCAGACGGCTGCCAGCAAGTCCCGCTGCGCTCACTGTACGAAACGCCACCTTCACCGACAGCCTCCGTCAAGCACATCGCAACTCATCGGCGTGCGCTGAGCGCGACGCGCCTGCGGCCACCTCTCTCTGCCAGTGTGAGGACTCAACCCCACGCGACGGAGACGCACGTCGACGCGTCTTATCAGAGGACTTTCATTTCCTGAGGGTGGCCCAGCTGCACTCAACGCTCAGGAAACTGGCCACCGCAGGACGGCGGACGAGGCTGACGAGTACGCCCGTCAAAAACCACCACTATG